ACTGTCAGTCCTGTGGATGACCCACTACTATTGTGGACTACTGAACTATATTGGAATATTTTGCTAAATTCATACACCTACAGTATTTAAATGATAACCGAATACCCTTCTCTGACAAAACTAAACAAAAAATGGGGATAAAATGAATGACCATTTTGTATCTGTATATTCAAAATAGGATAGACATACAGCTACTTTCTCTTAATTCAATGAATAAGATTTGTTCTAACAGTGTTTGTGAACAGGATATTATGTCTTCATCTTGTACAATGAACAACCACTGAGACAACAATGTGCAATATATTTATTTTTGAAACTGTCCTACTGATCGGTTTTGAAACTGTCTCATTGCTATTTTTTTCTCAATAAAATTATTTAAAAAAGAAAGAAAGTATCTGAGTATCTTGCAAGTACAGCACACAGACCCAAGATATTTTAATGATAACTAAGTAAATAGGACACAGATGTGAATACTAAAATATTAATATTGCATAATCTTCTGATGGTGAACATCATCAAAACCATATCTACAAAAAAAAAAAAAAAAATCCAGAACCCAAATCCTTATGCAATGATAGCATCAATGAGTCATAAAGCATTGAAACAGAAGTTCAGAGCTGTGGCAGGCAGGATTCCTGCCAAATCACTCAGCTCTAACAGATAATACTTCCTAAAGCCTCATGGGTACAGGAAAGTCAGAAACTAAAAGCAATGTGTTACAGAAAATAATTTATAAATAATTTCAATATACTTCATTTATTAATTTTGATATTTCAAAAATAGCTCTTAAACTTTCAAATTGAGTATTATTCTCTGATAGGATGTTTTAATAACATCTTTTGTTACAAATTAAGGTCAGGGGAACCCCAGGAGGTTGCTGCTGACACCTAGTGGTATAATTTCTAAAAACCTAAATGCATTTGAGAGAGAGAGACCGAGGGGCGTATCTACATAGAATATGCAACAATACTTAGCCTAATAGATGGACCTCATTGGGTACATTCTCAAGGTCTACTGGACACTCCACACTACAAATTACTATATTCAGCCTAGACCACATTGTCTTCAGTAACTTGATTCCCCTTGGTGAAGAAAGGAAAACTAACATTATCTACTGAAGCCTTTAAAATACCAATTCCCTTAAAGCCCTTTGTATTTTGCTGAGAACTGCCAATTCCTGGGTATCCCCAGCTACTAAAGGCTCCATCCAAACTCGTAATAGACCTAATTTCATCTCAATCTCCCAAATAGCAGCAACCCTTCTCTAACTTCCACATCTGGCTTCTAGGTACTTTGCGCTTCTCTCTAGAGAGACTCCTTTGCAGAACTGGGGATGTATTATTTTAGAAACAAACAAGCATGTATATTCTAATGACCACAAAATTCCTATACTCAGATTCATTGATGATTAAAGGCTTAAACATAGCCACCACAGACTGCTTTAATGATTTCTAACCATGCACATGAATGCTATACAGCAGAACACAGAAGAAATTGAAATTTGCATAAAAGAAGCGCAGGGATAACTTCTAACAGCATGCAAGTAGATTTTGTAGAACATGTGCACACGCGCGCGCGTGTGTGTGTGTGTGTGTGTGTGTGTACAACAGCACAAAGGGAAGACATTCTAGTTCTGGGATGCACTTTCACTCTAGCATTTTAAACATAGCAGGTAAACATTTAATTGAAAAATGAATAAAAGAATGAGATGGCAATTCCAGTACGGCTTATTTTCCTGTTGACTCTGATGAAAGCTCTAGAATAAGTAGTGTTCTCCCAGGGCACTGATTTTCTCTTAAGCAAAAGTGATTTTGGTGAGTAGCTCAGGTTAGAGTTTTCTCCAATGACACTTGCAAAGTGGCACAAAGCCAAGCAGTGATATAATTAGGCCAACCTCTCCTTGGTGAAAAAAGAGCATGTCTCCACAGCAGCTTTATAAATTAGTGGGTTTGAATTTAGATTTCAGTCTCTGAAAACAAGGGATAAAAATATAATAGGTGCTCAAGGTACTGCTAATTAATACAAAGTATAGCTAAACTATAACTCTTTGTACAAGGCAATCTCTTTTAGGCATTTACATTTTCCTCCAATGAAAAAATCCTGGAGAATGAGAAGTACATGCATTCAAAATGTTCCACTTATAAGTGAAATTGAGAGTGCTCAACCGAGGAGATGGCTCCCCTCAGATTCAGTGACGTAATATATTCCCACATATATGCACATGTATACACGTAGGATACAGAAATAAATCTGCAAGAGAATGATGGGTACTATATCAAGCGACTTTACTGAGTGAAAACAGGCAAAGCAAGAGAAGAAAAGAGGATTGGAACATAGTGAGTGCCGAGAATGCTAATTTTAAAGAGAAATTTTAAGATTATAAGATTATAGGCTAAGGTTATAGGCTGTGGAATAGAAGAGAGAAAACTGCTTCTACTCAGTCTACCATAAGCCTGAATTTCAATCTAACATACATCAAATGTTTAACTAAATAGTCACTATCACATTTTGAATTTTTATAGTAAAGCAAAATCTAATGCTCTTACAAAATTAAAACAAATTATAGATGTGAAATTTTCTTATTTGAGAGTATTTTCAGAAAATTCAGGGAGATGGCTCAGTGGAATTGAACTCAGCCTGAGTTCAATCCCCAGTTCTGCCATAAAGAAAGTTTAAACAAAAAATTAAAGGGAATAATGTTACATTTATTTTGTATATGTGAAATATATAACATTATAAATATATATATATAAAAAACACTATAAATATATAAATCTTGCTAGATATAATGAAGGACACTTTGCTTTTTGAGCTAGTTACATGTGCCTCTATTTTGGATTATAAAATTAAGAATATTGTGACCATGCCAATAACCTCTAGCAATAAAACACTACGTGAAAATTTTCTCAACTATCTATTTTTAAATTTTCCAACGTAGACCTTTTAGGTATCTGCACATAGAAAAGCACCAGTTAATTCAACACATTGCGTCTGGAATCTTTAGCCAGAGTTAATCTTACACAAAATGAATGTGCCCATCATTCATTCATTTACAACTAAGGGAAACCACACAATTGAACTGGTCTAGAAATGGAAAACACCCTGTTTAGGTGAACCTAAAGAATGAACCTCCAGAGACCTTGATATAAATCCAGTTTTCTATACCAGTTCCTACCTCAGTCCACTCCTCCATACTCTTGACTCAAAGGCAGACAGGTCCTAGATCACACTGACTTTGAGAGTGTTATATCAAAGCACTTGACCTTTGGCACTGTACAGAGCACATTTATTCTCAACATGAAAAGATGCAAATTCTGTTATTCTGGGGATCATGATATTGAAAGCTCTACATTGTGAATGGGAAGTTCCCTCCTTACCCCCAATCTTCCTCTACTACATTCAATTCAAAATAAGTCTATCTATATATTCAGTATACAAAAATATTCTTAATTTAATTTATTAGTATACAAGTATTTCTGTAAAAGAAAAATTTCACATGTATATCTTCTGGAGAGTCTGTCCTTCTCTCATTCTTTATTTTCATTCTTAAGCATAAAGATCCGTGACTTTCTTTACCGGCTCCCTCTCATAGAGTGTGAAACACTTTCACACTTACTGAGTAGCACATCTTCTATGGATTCCCCATCAAGAAGTACTTTCCACTGCTCATCTCCCTAAACCTGACATGTAGCTCACCCTCAACACCTTCCACATACTGTCGAGATGTTAGATCTTGTTAGCATGTGTTTTGGAAAGCACAAAAACCATTAATTCGTTTTATTAACCATTTTCAATTATGTCGGTTTGAATTAACATTTCAGGGTAGATGAAACTTGGATGGAGTGTCCTAATTTAAAAATCTCCTTTAGGAGAGACAAGCTGCTTTCTCAAAAGGGCTTACATATCCTTTAAAGAGATAACTGAATGCCAAAAGTAAGCACAAAGATTCCAACTTATATGGTAGCAATTCATATTTACTAAACTGCAAATAAAAGCTCAAAAACAAATTTGTGCCAATACTCATTAAAATTTTAAATTCTACTTCCTAGCTTTCATGTATTTTAGAGGACTTCAACAATTAGCCACAAATAAAAGGCAGCTCCAATAAGTATGCAAGGACATAATACAATTCAGTTATATGCATGCTTATGTCCATAAAGTGGTATTATAGATATACACTGACAGTACTCAGTAGATGCAGCCAGTCCCCTTCACAGTTCTATCTGAAACATCTGTAAAAACATCCTTTGAAAAAGTAGTTTTAATATATATATATAATATATATATATATATATATCTCCTATATACTCATATTTTGTTTACATGCATATATCATTATAATATTTGCATAAGTTTTTATATTCTTAGGACAACATATGTAAATAAATCACATAGCAATTTGAAAATTTAGCAACTAAAAATGCAATCTGTTAAGCGTAATCAGGCATGCTATTCAACAACTGCATAATTCAATCTTTCTGGAGGAAATATGTATTTCATATGAGAGTGTCTCAATAAAACTTGATGTAGTTTTCTAGAAATTTATAACAAAATTTTTGCATCATCAGACAATAATTTAGAAAGCCATCAGACTACTGCTTTATTTCCACATAAAGGAAAAGCTCATTCCTCACCGCTGAACTCTGATGAAGGTCTCATTCTCTTACTTTGTGAGACATGTAAATATGTTCCACCAATGGACATTATTTCCAAATAAAAGAATTCAATCTTCTCATCAACATACTATTAATATATTAAAATTAATAAAAAGTATCATTGTAAAAGAAATCATTATCCACAATTTTTCCAAAGCTATTATATGTCAAAATTTTACTGCTCATTTTACAAATACAAAATCACCATAAACCCTTCCTTCTGCTTTTCAGAGGATTTTCATTCTTGATAAGTCACTCAATATTAAAAACCACTGATAAGGCAAGTCAATTGTTTCATGTAGTAAACGAGCTAAAACAACGCCAATTGAAAACAAACATTATTACCTTGGTCTGACTTTTCACAAAAGACAGCAGATCTCTTGCCAGGTAACACCATTTCTTTGGGTTCTGTGGACAAAGAGAAAAGAGTTGAACAAAAACAAACTTTCCTTTTACTCTGTAAGTGCTTCTTTAAAAAGATTCATTAGTAATAAAGGTCAGAGAAGAAAATCATTTAACAAAATATTCAGCTCCATTCAGCAGCTGCCCTGGGAGCTACTTGCTTTAAATGCCAAATAATTTCCTAAAGGTCCTCTCTCCCCTGTAGCTGAGAACTTGGGTGACTGTGGCAGAGACACAGCCTGGCTTCCCAGCAAGGAAAATATCCTATGTTTTGAAATGATCTTCCATTATTTCAAAAGATAAGATGTAAACATGTTGGAATAGACTATTGACTTGGTTCAATCCCCGATTCTGAAAAAAGGAAAAAGAAAAAAAAAAAGGCTATTGATTTGGGATACAACAAACTGAAATTAAATTTGCAATTATCTAAACTTACTTTCCTTCCTCTCCTAGTGAGCATGGGCTTTAAAATATTCATGAAATTTTGGGTCTTTCCACAGAAGTGATAAGATGAGACACTGTAGGATGACTCTGTAAATAATTGCTGATTACCCTCCTTATGAGATACAATTTCAAAGCTTTTCTCTGCTGCAGTGAGGAGGAAAGTACTTCGTAGAAGTCAGAAGTTATGAAAATATATCTCATTCCTTCCCTTAGCATATAACAATCTCACTCAGTATCCCATAAAAGACTTTATTGCATCATTATCTGAATGTTCAGATTGGAGGATAAGAAATTCAATCTGAGCAATCGCTTTCCAGAAAAGGCCATCATACAGATAGGTAAGAATTTTAAACTCATGCCTTAAGAAAGTTATTTGACTGAAGGAATGTTAACAGTTAAACGTGACATTGATTAATTGGTTATAGCAGTCATAAAAAGAGAGTCATATGAACGCAATCACTACAACATCTCACCAGATGTATGATCTTGGGAGAGTGAATTAAACTTTTGTATGCCTTTATTTTTCATCTATAGTATGGGAATCATAACTCTTCCTATTTTATAAGTGCATAGGAAAGCTACATAAGATGAATGTGGACAGTGGACATAATACAACTCCAAGCTAAGCATTAAATGTCAGCCAGTATCAATGTCAACATCATCATTATTAAAATTGTTAGAATTATTCTCTTTAAAAAAATCTTTCTACTCCATTGAAAATCAATGTTCTAATAAGCAATGTGGCCAAATAATTAAGTCCTATCCTACTAGATATTAACTCATTTGCCCATTTATTAGTAAGACAAAGATATTCAACTGATAAGAACAGACACTACACTTAGCCAAAAGGCTGAGAAGCAATTATTAAGACAAAGATAGCAAAGGAAATAAAGCATCATTTTAAGTCTTTAGCAGAACAGGGCAAAAGTTTGAAAATATTTCAGGAAGGATTTTAGTTGTCACCTGCTCTATATCCATGTCTCCTCTCAATTTTACTGCAGAGTTTTTGCTAAAGAAGGCTTCAAGACACTATAATACACTTCAAGATTCATGTAATGCACCTGGTCTTGGTCTACTTCTGTGAACACTCAATCTCACTCCAAAAATACCCAGATGCTTCTCAAATCCAGAGCCCATGACACAGTTAAGAGAAACTACAATAAACAACAATATTTAAGAAAAACAATTTAGTTAAGGCAACACATCTGGGGGACAATTATTTTAGAGTAACTGGTGGAAACACCAACATTAAGAAACATAAAATACGTTGATGCAGCAGAAATTATGAAATAATATTCTGTACAGATTTAAAGAAAAAATTTTAAAAATAATATTTAAAAAAGCCAGTCAAAATAATTGAACTAGTACACATAGAAGACAATGGACCCTGTTGGTGTGAGAAAATTTCACAAAATAGGACTTGAAAGACTAAATCTGACTGTTGACTGTCCCCAAAAGCCCATGTTTAAAGGACGTGTTCCAGGCTGGGGATAAACACTCCTGGTAGTCCAAGCATACTGGAATGTGGAGGCAAGAGGAGCGCAAGTGTGTGAGTTTGAGACACACCAAGGAAACTTAGTGATTTAGCAAGAATCTGTCTTAAAATTAAGAGCAAAATGTTTTTAAAAAGGCCTGGGGTTATAGCTCAGTGAAAAATCTCTGAGTTCAATTCCATGTATCATAGATAGATAGATAGATAGATAGATAGATAGATAGATAGAAAGGAAACTGGGAAGAAACCTTAACTACATTTGCACACACAACCTCTAAACCCATTTATAGGCATCAGGCAGACCAAAGTCTGCATAACATGTTGCCTATTAAATTATATAAGACAATGAAGTCCTATCCTGGTATTTCATTTTTCTTTTTTTTTTCACCATAGTATTTGTGAATGTGACCTCCTTTACTAGTGAAAGCATTATTGATATTGTTAAGATATAAACTAATGTGAAGATTCACAAGAGTCGGCTCTTGTGAATCAATCCAGCCTGACTGATATCCATACAAGAGGAGATGAGAACAAAGATAAACACACAAGTGGCATGTGAGGATTACAAAGACACCACTAGAAAAATGTCAGTTACCAGACGCATAAATTCAAAATGTTCAAGGCAAGGAATGCCAAAGCTAAGCCAATATCAACAGGCTTACAGATTCTCCCTGAGAGCATAATCCTGATGCCCCCTTGATTTTGGAATTCAAGGTCCTAGTAATATGCCAAAGTGAATTTCTCTTCTGCTAAGACACTCCTTTTCTGGTAATTTGTTATAGCAACCATGCAAAATTGATAGAAGATCATTTCAGTCAACAAGAGTCAGACATCTATGAGACTTTGATCTCCCAGAACTTTAAAAAACTTACACAGTTCTTACTTTAGCTCACTAAAAACATTCTGAAATTAGAAAGCATCTAGCTACATATGAAAAATACATAGAAATTAGAGGTTATGGAAATTTCTCTTATTCCCTCCCTTTGTCAGTCTCTTTTCCAGAGCTAGAATCTGCTGTAAGTGAAAGACAACAGCCAATGAAGAGAGATTTGTTGGTCTCATTTCTTCCCAACTCCTACTTTTCCCAAATAGTTAACCCATGTCCTGATGTCTCTGAATTATGAAGGAAGAATAAGAAGGCAAAGGGGAGGAAAGAGGAGGTAAATTGTGAAGAGAAAGGTTAACTGTCTGGTCACTAAGCCAAGTGGCTCCCTCCCTGGAGTGTATTTAGGGCTAATTATCTCCTTGTGGGCTCATTTTTCCAAATTCTTCAATGCACTTACCTCCTCCACTCACTGGAGACCTTTCATTTGGACTGCTGTTGATGTGGGTCATGTTGTCCCCATTTCTCACTATAGCCATGACTTCAAATGAATCCAAGAGTATCTATCTACTGACTAGTTCAGCTATGAGAGTCCTAAGAGAAGGTGCTAGGCAGCATATGCCCACCCTCTTACAGTCGTGACACACATCTCATCCAGAGTCAACTCTCCAAAGTTAGCACTTTCTGAGAGAGTAGGATCATTGTGATTGGCAACTCTGTGCTGATGTTATTATGTGGCTCATGACCTCATTACTTGTCACTTATAGGTATTTCTAGCACATTAAGCTAATTCCAAGTAAATCTCTTTACATCCTTAGATTTCCCAGCCTTTGGGATTAGGAACACAGGAGTTACCAAACCTCTCCTCTTTGTACTAGGAAATTTCTACAAGGTGATCTAGCTCAGATATCATGTTAGTGTCTGATATCTGTTGCTTTATGGAGTCAAAATTTTATAATGTTACAACCATGCTACTAATTTTTCACAATCTGTACTTTAATAGATCTATCAGATAAGTAAATAAAAATTATGGCCACTGGATACATTGCTTATTAAAAATTATGGTGAATGTTAAATTTTGAATACATTTATTAAAGTAGAAGACACTGCTATTAAGCCTGCTCAAACTACTCCCCGTCATTTCAAATACATTTATCCCATTATTCCTATCACTTTCTGAAGCAGTCTGGAAGTCCTCTTTCATAAGTGACTAATTGTGCTGTTGTGGCTGCTTTCATGCCTCAACCTATTCAAAATAGCTGCCTTTTATGTTATTTTGACTTTAAGAAAGAGACAGAAGAGTTACACAGTACCAGATCTAGCAAATAAGGTAGGTAAGGATACACCATAGTCGTGTTTATCTGACAGAAATTGATGGAAACATTTTATCAGTGGGAAGAGGTCATAAAATATAGTAAAGGTTTAAAAATATTCTTCTTTCAAGGAATATTACTGAATTGCCAAGCATTTTGTATTGCTTCTCAATACTATCTCTCCTACTCAGTCCAGCACAGTACCTGGTGGCTGCCACATTGCTGGACTTCAGTTCCATTCTCAGTGTGTATTTCTTCTGGTTGTGATTTAATTCTTACATTTTAGCACCTCATAAATTTACCACCCTCTCAAAGCTTTAATGCAAACTTCTCTACAAAATGGTTGCCAGGTTTTTTGGACTCTGTCTATGTTATTGTTCTCTAAGCTTATTCAGCAATGATGTCAATGTAGCCTATAATCAACTTTGCTTTCTTGGGTTGTCTTCTGTTGTCATGTCTTTCCAACTATAGCTTAAGTTCTACCTCAAACCATGTTTAGTTATATGATCAGCACATAGGGAGACAATCCCTAATCAATGCATACCTAATTGTTACCTATTACATATCTAGTAATGTAAGTAGGAAAGAGCTGTCTTATACAGTGTAAGTATCTTCCTAGATGCTGTAATAAAAATGTGAAAGTATTCCTTTCTGTTGCCACATCAATTTCTAAGACACCTGTACAAATTAATAGAAAAGAGGCAGAAAACACAAGAGGATGAGAGAGGTGGTAGATAAACATATAACAGGGCTGCTACTATTCTGATTTATTTCCAAACAAGGGCATAGTTGGGGGTGGAGGAAAGACAGCACAGAGGTGGAAGTTGGCCCTGAGTGGCATTTTTTTTGGGGGTAGCACTATTGACCAAAAGGAAAATTATAATAATTCAGGTTCTTCTGAACCATCTTTGATGTTAAACTAAGATTTCCTATG